GAATGACCCCACACTTGCCTGACCTAAATCCAATAGAACACCTCTGGGATAGCATGTCGGGTCCATCCGACGCTGCCAGGTTTCACCTCAAACTGTCCAGGAGCTCAGTAATGCTCTGGTCCAGATCTGGGAGGAAATACCCCAGGACACCATCCATCGTCTCATTAGGTGCATGCCCAAATGTTGTCAGGCATGCATACAAGCATGTGGGGGCCATACAAACTACTGAGTACCATTTTGAATTGCTGCAATGAAATTTCAGCAAAATGGACTGGCCTGCTGCATCATTTTTTCACTTTGATTTTCGGGGTGTCTTTGAAGTCAATCCTCTGTAGGTTGATAATTTTCATTTCCATCAAACAGTGGGGCATTCTTACGTTACTACATACCCAGTCCATATCAGTATAGATATGCAGCATTATATTTTTCCCCATTGAGATCTGATGTGTTTTCAAAGTGTTCCTTTAATTTATTTGAGTAGTGTATATAAATAGGTTCTACAAAGTTACTAAAGGAGGACAATTTGCAACTTAAAATACAACTAAAAGCAAACATTTTTAGCTTTGGACAGAGTGAAATTGGATCAGAACCCCTATCAGCTTTTATTGCTGTCTGTGCACAGTCTATTTGCCTTTAGTAAATCCACTCTACATTCTCATTTCCATCTTTCTTTTCTTTTCAACATTTATCAAAGACTTAGCCAGAGCTAAGAATGATCCTAATTTCTCAGTTATGAACTAGACCATTCCAAGCCCCTCAACTACAAGAAGAGAAAGCCCAACTGCTAAATACAGAGACTGAGGAACATTGCCTCCGTTAGAAGGGGCTTATGGACACTGCCAGCTGCAACAGAAAAGAAAAGCAAAAAAAACAATACTTCAACTGTTTCAACTGTGTCTGTGCCCCGTTAGGAAGATTCACCCTCTCAGTTTGTCCTGTTTACCATTATCAGTGAAACGTTAAGCAAAAGTAAATCTTGACTTTTTGGTTATCCCTAGAAAGGTAGTAGAGGGGAAATGTTCCTATGGGGGGACACTAGTTCTGATGACCTGGGGGTCCCTAAGGGATTCCCTTAATTTGCAGGGATTTCCTCTCATTTCCTGTTTTGGCTATAGGACAGGAAGTGAAGGGAAAGCTCTTTAATGGGACACAGATGTTCTTCTTTCAGGCTAGCACTAGCTATGCTAGACAAATGCAAAACCATAACATCTCTTCACAAAAAATCATAAGAGAAGCACAAGAGCTCCCAAAGCCTTTAATTCTATATTCCTGTAAATGAGGTTTGGCCTAACCTGCAACTTGGCTACAGATTCATCCATCAAGACCTAAGATGATATAGCTGACAGCTCAAGCTTCTCACCTGGAACTCTGTTAGCAATGAAAAGCCTAAGAAGTTCATCAGAGTTGTCTACACTAGTCATCATGCAAGAATAGCCTTTTTTTCACAAGCTCATAGCTGTTCCCTCATGAAGATGGGCCTGTCAATAATTTCCTAAAATTGACTTGAGAAAGACCCACCCAATACTTTATCCTCTCCTTATGAACTTATGTATATATGTTTGCATGTTCTATTTTTATGTTTATCGGGTCCAGAGGAGAAGCTCACTCATCTTCATGGACATATTACTGACTTATGCCATGTTTGTTATATTGTTGCAATGTGTGTTTTTTTTTTTTAAATAGTTATATCTATTGATGCCAGGCAGGAAATGTGCTGCCACATCAGGCTGTTTATTTTTGTCAATGAGGAAAAGGGTCCACACTACCACCACTGCTCTTAAAATCCTCATTTATTGTAGAAACCACAGATACAGTAAGTTGACACATTTTAGCCTACAAGTCTTTAGTCATAAAGTCAGTTACGACTAAAGCCGTGTTGGCTGAAACGCGTCAGCTTACTATATCTGTGATTCGTGCACTGTGGTTTCTACAATAAATTAAGATTTTAAGAGCAGTGATGGTAGTGAGGATCATTTTCCTCATTGAGTACTACATGCAGCTGATCTGTAATTGTGGATCATGCACCCCGCGACCTCTTGTGATAAGTGATTAAATGGGTAGCAGCATTACTAATTGTTCTATATTTTGGACTGTTTATTTTTGTACCTTTTGGTATGTTCATCTGTTTTCCCCTTCTTTCTGGTGCTAGTTAGGCCTAGCTGAACTCTCTCTGCCTTACTCTGTCTTACAGTTTAGTTTCACTTTCCAAATAAGAGACATGGCCTTTTAAAAATAATTATCTTCTTGCACTCCAGAATACTGGAAAAACATCAGTATCACATTTATCTGAAGTAAAATTACTTTGCACTCAACTTCTTCGTCCAATCGAAGAGGTTTGAATGCTGCCACATCACCAAGTGGTCATGCTGTCTGCAAAGGAGGTATTGTATTGTACGAGGGGCCTTCAAAAAGTTTCCGCACTTTTATATATACAATAGAGTTAGAATAAAGTGTGGAAACTTTTAGAAGAACCCTTGTATATACTGTATCAGCGTTAGGAACACAACAAAAGTATACTTGTACCTTTATTTTGAAATCACCTATAAAGCCGCGTTAAAGGCTACAAGATTCCTTGAGGTACTTCTTAGAATTATTTAAATTTTTCACTTATTTTACAAAAATTAAAGTGATCTTTGGTTTTCAGTAGTCCTTCAGAGTCATTTTGTATCTAAAAACTAGGTTTTCTAGCCTATTTAGTAATTGTACAAGCATAATGAACACATTTACAAATACAGGCTTTTATGTACTTGCCAGCAAGTTAATCTCCAGTCATAAGAACATTTACTTTTACGCTGAAAATGGGGCTAACATTAGTTACTGTAAAATAACATTGCCCAGAATCATCTACATGAAGCCTGTTTAAAACTCTGTCCTTTTCACTTAGATTTAATTATACGCTTCTTAGTGACTACATATCAAAAGCTTAAAGCAATTACAAATACCAATAAAAAGTAGAGATACTCCTTAAACCAATATTGTTTTTTAGAAAATGTGACATATTAGGGAAGACATTTGAAAGCGTGATGTACTTTGCAAAGCTCACACATAAGAGGTACATTTAACACATACCATGAAAGGAATTAATGGCAGTCATAAAGGATGTTAGAACAAGCACATAAAATTCTAATGTTTACGAGCCGCTAAGCTGTAAAAAAAAAATATTCTAAATAAAAAGTTTCTCACTTAATCCAAAAACTTTTAATTGCGACATTTGATGAACTCCAAATGTTAGGAAATAATTATATGTTGCAAAATGATTTTTGTTTGCTTTTAAAGGACCTGTATAATTATAACTTAAATTATCTTGCTGTAAAAAAAAAGTTTCTAAAATGCATATTTACAAATCTTCCAGTAGTAAGCAATGGCATGAAGCCAAATGCCACCAAGTGTTTTACAGAACACTACAAGCTAATTTTGTCCAAAATTGAATACACTTAGAAGTGATATTCACTCTGAGCAGTACACGGCAGGTCTTTTGATGTAAAAGGATGAATGGGTTGTATTCCCAGTTTAAATACCTATACACCATCTACTGCCTAGTATGCCTAGTAGCCATCACACATTTGAAAATATTTTTTATGTCAAGATATGTTCACTCGGGGACATATTGCTGTGTAGCTTGTGTCTACTAATGTGTGTTGCCTAATCGACATGCTGACACACACAACAAAGAAGAGGCACATACCAGACATCAGGCTCTCTTGAATAACAAGGTTTTTCTGCTCTGCAAGTGAGTCCTTAGATTATTGATGGATAAGAAGAAAATTAGGTTGCCTATAGCAGGTCATGGGAATGAATGTAAGTGTTAAAGACTTTGGGGGGGGGGGGGGGGGGGTTGGAAATGATAGCAGATATCCTGTTGGCCCCTTGGGTTTGTGCTGCAGTAAGTTAGGGTAAGCTGTGTCTTTGGTGCACATTATTAAGATATGAACATGCTTGTAAATATCTGATGAGGCAATGATTATCCACCATGATAGTTACCTAATGTTTGTCTATCAATTTTGACCTTAAAATGGACCTCCATTCCTCAAATGCACATTAGCTTCCTGCACTCCCAACCCTTCTCTGAAATATAGAATGTGAATCTAAAGAAGAGATGGTGCCAAATGGTTTCAGATGGTTGCCAAATGGTTTCAGTGAAGAAGTTGGTGGTGCAGGACATGGCCTGTGGCAGTGGATCAGTAGATTACATCAGGACAAAACTGGATTTGATGAGCATTTGTTTTCTGGGGAGCACCCAGCATAGCAAGTATGCAAAGGGGAAAAAAGGAGGGAGCCTGTTTAATCCTCCCTAGCAGTCTGATTATGTCCATATTTCTGTGCTCAAAGCGGTACATTTTATTGCATGGAAATATGTATTTTTTTTATTGTAGGCCTTTAATTTTTAGGAATAACTCACTGAAATCTGTCCGAACAAGAGCCTAGTAAACATTCCGGGTATGTTAAAATTTGAAACATGAAATCATAAATTATAATTTAATAAATAATCATAAAAAATAATAATATAATAATGAATTTATATAATCAAACCAAAAACAAAGAAATTTGAAATATAGTGCCAGTTAGCACATCACTGAGCTTAGTCGCAAAATCGTTTACAATGTCTGATGACAAATTTTGCCACGAATCATTATCACTCAATTCTGCAAGTGGTTCTAATTTACTATCACTGTTCTCTAGCTGGTTTAAAACCGCTTTTGACCTAAAGGGATGCTTTTTGGACGCCATGGACGTTTCTCAGTTTCCAGGCAGACAGAACTGTAAAAATGCAGGCAGGGCACAGGACAAAGCACTAGGGACAAAATGTATGTGAAATGGTTTGATACAGTAATGTTATACTATGTGATTTTAGTGAATGCAGTGAATGTCACTTCTACAATTTTCAAATTTCCCGTACATCTTGACATCGCAGGGAACGGAACCCGAAAGACAGATGCCAGCATCAGCTGAGGACATTGCCGGGAACACTGCAGGAGGACATCGCAGGAGCACAGGACAAGGTAAGTGAAGAAGAGATCCCGGAGCAGCACTGCAGGGTATTCCCGAGTGTGGCTTGGGGTTACTGCTTGTGGTGCTGAAACTTTACCCCGAGCTACACTCGGGAATACCGCCAGGGAGGTTAAGGAGGTCTACTGCATTATAAACTGTCCTCCAGTAGTACTGCAAGAAGCCTTGGAAAGTGCCTGAATCCAGAACTGAAAAGTAAATTGTTCACACACTGATGCGGTGTGGAATTTGTACCAGTTTCTGTACAATTTCCGCACCACTTCATAATCGCACCCTGTTCATGCGAACTGCTGCAGGTGTGTATTTTAAGTTAATAACACCCCCAAATCAGTTCACAAAACACGGTGCGATGTTCAGAATTGGAATGTGTGAGTCTAAACTTCCATGCGATCTGATTCTGGTGCGGACAAAAAAAAGGATCCTGCACTATTTTGGTGCGGATGCGGTGTGATTTGAGACATACAAAATGTATGGCTTAAATTGCACAGCACAGAAATTGCATGTGATTTGCACAGGAATGTAGTGCGATTCTTGTACGAATCACATGCGATGTGCCGCACCGCATCAGTGTGAACCAGGGCTTCAAGTTTCAGAGATGTAGAACTTTGTACTGAAATACTATGAGGCCCTGGCGCTGAACATAGGCCTTACATATCTTAGATTTAGATATACCAAATTATGTTCAGCTCAGGTAACTGAAAGAAAACCAATGAGAAGGACAATAAATCAATCTTTACTCGTAAATAATATGTTGCTAGAACATTATACATAAGGGACGTAAAATATTAATGCTTGGCACCCACAATCTCATGGGCTATGTAGCAGTTGCACTTTCTGCATTGCCTGTAGCTCTGCCATACATTATATTGGATGTGAATGTTATTTACCATCTTTTTTCATAAATTAATTTATACTTTATGTTCCTTTAACAGTTATAATGATTCAAAATTCATATGACCCAGTTCAGCTTTGACAAACAGAGGGCAAGTAGAAGTAATATTTAGTATACAAGTAAACTTAAGTGATAAATGAATTTCTGTGTGCATTGAAAATGTAATCAGACGTGCTCACAATAGAGAAAGAACATTCTCTAAGACTGTTCAGATTACCTTGGGGAATTTTTAAACTTTTAACAGATGGAACCATTTATGTGTCATTCCGGCAGGACACAGCTCAATGTGGAAGAGTATAGATTGGACTAGCAGGAATGATTCTCTCTGTGGACAATCTCAAATCTCTTGTCACATAACTTTCTTCCTAAAATCCATCTAAACAATTCAACACCACAGACTTTCCAGTTGTGTTCACTAGATGTAATTTAGATTTTTACATAAAGGCTGCAATTAAATACAGATCTGCTTCTAAAGTAATCTGCCTATTTGTGTTGCTTATTCATTCTATCTGTGTAAATGACATATGTTCATTTATTCCAATATATGATAATCTACATAAAACACTAACACATCCATATGTTGCAAATAAAGCCTTTTAGGCAAAAACATATGTCATTAATTTATACAAATGTTTCTATTTTTACTATTTCTAAGGTTAATACAATCATTAAGCAATACATGTAAAGCAGATTATGGTAAAACATACTTGAATGACACCGAGGATGGGCAAAATGTTTACAAATCATCTGTCCAATAGTTTCATTCTAAGTGCACAAAGTAGCAGAAAATACTATGTATTTTTTTATATTGTACACTTTATATACCCATAATTTTTCTGTTAATGTTCTTTTAGATTTATCTGGAGTTTTAAATCACCCCCAACACGCTATATATACTATCTTGTCACCTCAAATAATAACATTTTTGTAAATAACTATGTATAATTAGAAAAAAGGTTATCTATGCAATATACCTTTTTAATTTGGGGTAGAGTGGGTAAGGTTAGATCCTATCATGTTTTTTTTTTGTTTTTGCTGTCTGTGTCACCATTGAGAATATCTATTTGTAACCACTATCGTCTAGAAAGTAAGTGGAATTCTATAATAATAAAATTGTCCCCAGAACAAGAGGTAGGAGGTAATGTGGGGGACAACTATCTAAAATGAGATAAGAATTCCCCACACTTTGGGAGGTTTCCTATAACTTCCTTCTGCATCTTTGGGACAGGAAGTGAAGGTAAATTTCCCCAATGGTATACAGTCAGCAAACAAATGATAGGATTTTAATATTAATTTAATTTTAATTTAAAAATGTGGCTATATGTACACTTTAAAGCAGAGTTCCAGCCAAAAATGTAGCTGCTGACTTTTAATAAACACACACTCACCTGTCCCAGGGTTGAGCGACGTGCTCACCCGCACCATCCCTTCTCTCCTTCTTCTCTTCCTGGTGTCCGCATTTCAACTGTAGGCATCAGGCTGTGACAGCTTGCAGCTTCACAGCCGGGTGCCCACTGCACATGCGAGAGTCACGCTGTGTATACTGATTGGTCCAGCAGTCTTCTGGGACTTGTGAAGGTTCCCAGGAGACTGCGGGAAGATGGAGGGGGGCCAAACCTCCAGTTCAGTTCACCGCAGCGAACTGAGCTAGAAGTCGGAGGGGGTACCTGTCAAAACCAGATATCTGCTTCCCCCCAAAAGGTGCCAAATATGGCAGTGGAGAGGGGGGGGAGGCAAACAAGTGGAACTTCCACTTTTGGGTGGAACTCCACTTTAACCTTTAAATTCACCCCCCCCCCCCAAAAAAAAAAAAAAAGCTTTATACCAACCTGTTCACTCACTGCAAGATCCAAACTGCATTTTGCATTATATATGAGAAGAAGCAAGGCATTAGCTGGAGAGTTTGCAGTGGTAGCTGTACTGCTTCCTATGGACCATAATACATACAACAAACATTACTACTAGAATAAATAACAGAAGCTGTATCATCTGACTCCTCTGTCAACTTCTAAGCAATAGATTTGCCATGACGCCATGGTCACCACCACTACCAGTGGTAATGGTTTGATTTTAAGTTCTTTCTCTGAGAGGTAGCCTAAATCAAACCAAAATGTCAGATTTATTACCTTACAGTGATTACAAGGAACAAGAAAACTATCTAGTTGACCTTTTGGTTGCTATCACAGCTGCTGTCTCATTTGCCACACTTTTCAATTTGCTTGCTACTTCTACATACCCAATGTTTTTAATCTAGATTGTGAAATGTATATTTTAACAGCTGGCCACCCTCAACAAATAAAAGTAATGATGTATATAAATACTTGGTCTGTAAAGAATTATTATTACAATATTAAATACAACATTATCAGTGTAGCAATACCCACATAGGAGCCAGCAGTTAGATAGGTTCCTGATGTATTTTCCCCTAGTTTTGCCCTGCAGCTGGGCATATGAACACAGTCACTCTTTGGCTCAGTAAACGGCAGCAGGTCCTCTAGGCTGGACTCCTCCTCTCCAGGACAAGACAAGGAGACTCAAGATCTCCATTTATTTATACCCATTTCCCAGCAGCCACCTGTACAGGGCCCACAAAGATTGGAAGGGACTGTATAAATATTCATGCTGCCCATTTACACTACTCCACACCTATGTTCCAGAAATATCTAGATGGCTCTGGAGATACAGAGTGACAGTAATCATATCTGCAGCCTGCGAGACACAGAGAAAACCCTAAACAATCACATGTAGCTGCACTGAATACAGGGAGCTAGAAGTAAATTTGCCTAACCCAGAATTTTAGCCACACTGAGTACAGTGAGGCAAGCTACATTTACCTAACAACAAAAATGAAACAGTTATAGTGCAATCACAGAACATGATTATGAGCAGTGGTGGACCTGTTGAAACTCTAATGGACCTGGGTGTAAGATGGCAAAATATCAAGGACAGATGGTGCACTGTTTTTTTCATTTGGCCAGGTATATAGTAAAAATATGGACTACTTTATTACATTACTTTTCGTACATGGGGTAGGATGAAGTTAAAGTACCCACCTAATCTGACCATTTTCAGTTTAATGTCTCCTATCTATGGGAGGTCTTTGACCACTCTATTGGAGACTCTATGACCACTGGGTGTTTAGTCAACTGGACAGGTTGAAAAACCCATCCTGATGTAATTGCCCCCCCCCCCCATTAATAGTTGGTGCTATATTCCCTTTTACAGACCCTCCCTCTGTGTCTGCTCACATAAACTTCTATGGTGGGCAGACTGACCATTATAGAGAGAAGACAACCTTTAAGCTGGGTGGGTGGGTGGATTTATCCAAGGGAGGACTATGACCCCTTGGTCACAGGGTGTTTAGTCAATTAGACAGGTTGAATAGCCCATCCTAAGTGTAATTGTTCCCCTGATTAGCTGGTGCTAGCATCCTATTTATAGTTCAAAGCCTTTCCTTCTGTCTCTATTCACATAAACCTCTGTGGTGGCCAGAGCTGACTGGCTGTTACAGAAGAGAGCTTACACTAAAAGTTTAAAGAGGGCTCTGCACGCAGGTTTCCCTTTGGGCAGGTGGATCATATACACACAAATAACTGCCCTCCCATGTCTATAGCTTTAAAGTGTAACTAAAGGCAAACCTTTTTTTATAGCTTTGGATACAGTGGAGAAGAATGAAAACACCTGGCAGTTTTTAATGTTGTCTGTAACCCCATTAGGGTGATTTGCCTCTGTATTTATCCTGTTTATTGTTATCTTCAAAAGTGAAAGTAAAAGACAATCCCAAATTTTTGGTTGACACTAGAACAGTAATAGAGGGGAAATCTTCCAATAGGGACACTAGTTCTGGTGACCTTGGTGACACCTTGGGATTCACTCACTTTGGAGGGATTATCTCTCACTTCTGGTTTTGGCTTTGGGACAGGAAGTAGAGAAATCTCCCCAATTGGACACAGATGGCAAAAAAACCCTGACAGGGGTTATAACCTTCCCTTACTCTACCTAAAATGAAAAAGACATGTTTGCCTTTAGTTACACTTTAAATATCTGCAATAATTGCTTCGGTATTTTTTTTTTTTTGCTAGGAAATTTCCTGCCCTAATTTGTCTTTTATCTGTCCTAATGCCTCCTTTATGCTACTGCCACATTCCTGTGACACCAAAACCAATCATGTAACCCTCATGCTCTTTTTAACACTATCCCATACACCAACCTTTCCTGGAAATA